TGAAGTCTTCTGTCCTCGCTACAGCGCACCTCACTACTGTTGTAGAATGTTAAAACATGTCGACAGGCCTACATGCACAGAACAACGAAATAAATATTGTTCTCTTCTAAGGGTGAGTGCTGTACAAGCCGCCCACACACGGCTCGACGGACAGGCCAGTCAACTCTGTGCAGGCAGCGTTCTGTTCATAGAGCTTTTAGAAACTGAGGTGCACGCACAGTCTGGTGTACATCACAGTAGTGTAGGGTATAATGAATGACAAATCCATTTAAAAAAAAAAGGCACAATCTCATCCTCAAGCAGTCACGCAGCAAAAGCTCGGGGAAACGGGCCGAAGTCATTGGAAACAAAGTACTACAAGTCCCGCGGTAGCATCCAACAAAGTGCTCTGTGGACGAGTGTCATACTGAAGCAGCGACTTGAAGTACGAGAACATCAAATTCACTGCAGCGACGGCACGTAAAGTATACACATGTGTAATGCGGTGTTATGTCCACTGGTCCTGGGTCAGAAAACAGTCCTAAGCATGTGTTTTAAAAACAGAAAAATCATGTTTATTTCAACCTAAAACAAAATCCACCGGACATGACAAAAACCCCCCTCCGTTCTCTTTAGCCTGTCATGTCATCGTCCGTGTTTGTTGCATAATTAGGAACAAGATTGCAGACATTTGATAAGATACAACATTTTCAGCGGGTTTTTTTTTTTTTTTATTTTTTTAAGAAAACTGTAATTTATTTCCAATTTTAATGGCCGCTGTTCATGGTTTCATGGTGTGCAGGCCGCTTCTGCTTGTTCTGCTGAGAAATATTTTAAGGACACCAACAACAGTATTGACAGGATCTTTGCAGCAGCATTCTTTAAATAAGAGACAGAAACGTGAGCAGCAGCGACTGTCCTTTCAAGTGTCGTGTTCATCTGTAATCGCTCCGTTGTTGAACAGCTGTGATTTCTAACTCTCTTCCATAGGAAGGTCAAAGCTTATTTTCCCCAATATACAATTAAAACATTTTGGCAGGCAATTTGTTTAAAAAAAGGATTAAAATTTGATAAAATTGGTAAAATGTGAGTGGTGGACTTGCACCTCAAGAAGAAGAAGAAGAAAAAAATTAAAAGGAAATAAAAATACAAACAAACGTCCTACAGCTAAGTTAAGCCTTCTATTCCAGTACACTGGTATTTGGAAAAGATAAAATCATATGTTATTTGTTTTTTGTTGTTTTTTTTGTTTCAGACTGTGTCTGATGGGTGTCAGTATTCATCGTGTCCCGTGTGGTAGTGGTGGTGGTGGTGGTGGTGGTTTGTTGACATGAGTACAGAGAAGAAAAGACAACTTTACAAAATGATCTTTTACCTACTGAGTGATGATTATGTCCCCTCAGTGTCTGTGACAGTGTCTACCACTGGCTGACACGCAGCTTCCTCCGAGGTCTCACTTTGTTCAATGTCTACGTCTTCGGGAGAGGCAAGCTGCTCCGGTTCCCTCTCTGGGAGCTCAGAAAAGGAGGGAGGATCTGGAGTGGACTCCGGGGAGCCCTCTGGTGTGACCTCGGCCACACTGCTATCGTCCATCCCGCGGCCGTTGACCCAGTTTGGCTGGCCCGGGTGAGCCTGGGGGACCGGGGTCTCCTCGTCATCTTCTCGATGCTCAACAGAGGAAGTCGAATCCTTTGGAGAGCCATCAGAGATGGGTGAGTCCTGGGGTAAGGCTTGTTTAGGAGTCTCACTGTACGGAGGTGAGACAGGTTTAGGGGGGGAGTGGACAGCCGGCTGTGATTGAGATTCTGGCTGAGGGGAATTCTGCGATTCTGTCGGTGACGGGATCTGAGCGGTAGCCTGCGTCGGAGGGCTCTGATCTGGGGA